TTTTTTTAACTAATGCTAATTTAGTGACTATAAAAAAAGATTTTTTGGAATGTCGACTTGTATTAGATCAGAGTCATCGATATCTTGGAATTAATCGTATATAAGACTTATATTTGACACATGACTACTTCATTTCGCTAATGGTTCCTTATTACATGACGTCCCTGAGAAACATATGTCCAACTTTGCTAGAAAGGATTTCCGTGTTTGTTGAACTACGTGACATAAGACAGGGCTTTATGGACGATTAAGTTGGTGACACTTTGAAGAAAAGATTTGGTATGACGACCGCGGCGGTGTAACAAATGTTTTGAAATTATATTATATACACAGTCAAATGGCTTCCGTTATTATGGACTGGGTAAATGTGTAGAAACAAATAAAATTTAAGAATCTGTTTGTACATTCAAATTACTAACTATCAAAACTGATATTTATACAATTTCTGTCTGTTAGAGCTTATCTCTTAAACAGTCGGATGGTTTTAGATAAAAGTTCAGTCTCGTACATTTGATATTATACGACGTAATCTTTTAAGACTTTAAAATGGACAAAGTTTTAACGTGACTGAATGTTTTTTATGCTGTCTATTAAAACTACGATTATTTATTTCCAATACTTTTACTACTGAGGTCTCCCGCTGTTTTCATTCAACGAGATGAATTATTTCAGATTGAATCAAATTTATGGTGGGCAGACACTATTTCGACTTCCTTTGGGTTCCCTATTCCATTTTGAACACTAACAATGTTGAAAGTAATTATTAAATAAAAACTGTGAGTTTGTGGAGCATACTTTGATCTATCTATCTCTTGCGCAAGTTGCTATCACAATATTGAAATGTTACTAGTATTTAACCATTGTGGCATAACCTATCACCGCCGCCTATCACATCTGTAGAATCGTGGAGACAGGGGAATAGAGGATATTCTCTTGTTTTCACAGGTCTACTGCATAATGGTGCAACTTTATCAGTTCTTTTGATATTTTGTAAAAGGGACAAGTATGTGTTGTTCACCCCATGATATAATTTTAGGATGAAAAAAAATGTATCAAGTAGATGCAGAATTTAGATTTTTAAGTTTCAGCCTACCCAAAACAATTTCATATCCACCTACTTTATGGATTAGTTGCGTTGATATAAGATATTAGCAAATACAATTAAACTTGTGCGGCTTACTCGAGCATTAAATGAATCCAAGTTTATTCATTTCGTGATCCGTCTTACCACCGGTCATAAACTCATTTCATCAAATCAACTGTAATAGTAAAAAAAAATATTTCTTTCTTTCTCTAATTTTTCTTTTTTTGTTAATTAGGTAGTGTTCGACTATTTTTCCTTCTAATGGGCATATTTAATAGTAAAAGTATATTTACTCTCTCCTTAAAGGCATCTTCATTTTATGTTCTGGTAAATTAAGACACGACAAGTCTCTTCGAATTCTTTTTTGTACCCATAAGCAAGATAAGTATATATTTTTTATAAAATACTATTGATAAATAATAATTGTAATAAAGTTGTTAAGAGAAGAAACTTTTGTAGTGAAGATTCTAAAAAAAGATGGATACGTAATTTATGCGATTGGACACAATTTTTCTGACTCGAGCCGGGAATGATAACAATGAAATTATGTAAATAAAATGAAATGATAAATATGTATATGAGCTAAAAATATACTTAGTTCGATGTATAATTGGTTTTCGCAAAGGTTATTATAAAATTTACTAGATCTATTATTATCTAACAGTGAATACAGCTTGTAATTTTTGACCCCAGCTCTGTCTTCCGCATTGCCGTTAAGATGGCAACTTGCTTTTGTGACAAAATGGCTTATTTAGAGTAGTTAGAATTATTAACGATACTCTAACGTGTTTTAAAGTATTTTATAAATGGTTTTGTTGTTCAAATTTAAATTTAATTTCTCATTTTTTTACTCAGTATATAAGTGGTAGGTTTAGATAATAAATTATTTTTGAAATTAAGAAATCTTAGTTATGTTTGGAAAACATAACAATCAATTCACATTGTCCTTTTAATCTCCGTAAAACTCTGGGTTAACTTACTTACTTATTTATAAAAATACTAAGTAGAATACATAAAAATTACCTTAAAAATTAGAGCCTCTTCCCACATTTACATACATATATTAATAAATATATGTTGTAAGCTGGGTCTGAGAGAAAAGATAGTATAGTAATTAAAAAAGAAACACGATTTTCACACACCACATTTAATTTAAAGTATTTTTTTTGATACTATGCATTTTCTGTTGTTTTATTTCTACATGTTCCTGACATTTCGATTACTTTTCAACTTTGAAACATTTATCATCTATCGTAAACGATTGACACAGATTGCGCTTACAGTAACTAGAGAACTTACAGTGTGCTGACGAACATGGGATTTTATATTTTTGATGAGGAGGTTCCAGATGTAAGACAAATTCCAGCCATATTAAAAGGTTATTTTATTTGTTATATCCTCGTGGATTTATCTCGGTATTTGCACAGACAGCTCCGCAAGACTTCAAGACACAGTAAGCGCATTCTGTGTGCATCCAGAGCAATACGATAGAAGCAAAAAAAATGGCAGTAGATGACAAATAACAAAACTAATTGACATACACTTTTGTCTCATCTTCTCGTGATCACTGTTGTTGAATATAGTGTAAAAGTCTGGAGCATATAAAAATAAAATAACAATAAAAACAATGCGTATTTTCGTAAAAAGCTTAGTTTCATACAAAGAGAAATACTTTCAATAATTAAAAACACGATTTATAGGCTTACTTGTGACTTAATTCTCGCTGTATAGTGTCTTCCAAGTACGTATAACTCATATTCTATCCACATATACTCGCATATCAATTATATTCAAACCAACATCCATATCTATATCTATTGAGACGTGTATATTGCACAAGCATATCATAAATGTCCCTACATTTATAATAAGTATCGGTTGGAAGTATATTCTTGTTAAAAAACAATATTTGTATTCTTAATGACTTACGAATGCTGTGTTTAATTCTAAGAAAATATATTTAATTTTGTGATTTTTTCATATCTCATTTTTATATATTGGGTGAAGCATTTAGCAGGAATTATTTGGATTGTGAATTATAAATTAATTTCACTTTAAATATACTTTAATCCACGAAGTATTAATAAGTATTTTTAAATCATTAAGCTATATTGAAATCTAAATTAAATAACGCCGATAAGAAAATACTACGTCAATTTGTTTAGCTTTGTTGACTCAGCCAATTTTCATTACAGCAATATTATTATACATATATATATATAAAAAATCTCATTTAAAAAAATATGTATATACAAAAAGAAAATACTCACAAAACTTGAATGAATGAACATTTACTATATATTAACGAAACTGTCTTTACTAATAAGTGCCATGGTCAATAGTGGGGTCATGTTAAGTACAGCCGCAGGGACAAGGCTGGCAGGACGCCAGCTGCTCGTGTGTGGACTAAACATTACACATATCGTTATATACAACGTGTCATGTTATACTTTACGTCATAGTTATTAGTTGATGTATGATAACGTATATAAACGTATTCTTAACAGCATGAATATTTTTTTAGGAAAAGATACTTTCAAAATATGATTTTAAATAGAAATAAAAGCTAGCAATGAAACCAACTCTCCACGAACCAAAGTGTAGATTTTTGTTAGTGATGAAACAATATATGTATATCAACTCCTTTTTCAGTCAGATCCTGTCTGTGTAAATATTTGTTTACCCATGACAGTATTAAAAATTCGTTTTTCACACACACACACACACACACACACACACACACACACACACACAAGAACACACACACACACACACACATACAGACACACACACACACAGACTCACTCACACACACACACTCACACTCACATTCAGACACACACATAATAAAAATGCAAGTGTATCAATACAACTTCTGATTTCTTTATAACAAAAATAAAATGCTATAAATATATATTTTTTTATTGGCAAAGTTTATATATATACGATTTTATACGAACATTAGGTGTTCAAAGACAACTCATCTCTAGAAATATTTCAAAGAAGAATACAATATATCTTTCATGCTTATTATGTACATATTATGATGACGCTCTTAATCATTGCAAGATATCGCATGATAGAATTAATTTCAATCAGTAATAATTATAAAAGTTTATAGTGCAATATATAATCTCGATTCTTCAATTTATAAATTAACATTTAAAATCACTAATAACAAATGTAGCTTACAATGTAAAAATTGTTAAAAAAAGCATCTTTTAAAAACATTGCTTGAGTGGTTAAAATAAAATGGTAATTTCTTTTCCCACTCCTTGAAAAACTTTTTAAAATTTTGTTAAGTTACTCTCACTGTACGTTTTAAAATAATAAAGTAATTAATATACAAAGTTACTTATTATTTCTAATTATTCTGACCTCTTAATTAATGTTATCAATTTAATCACGGGCCACATATAGACAGTATACAACGTTATCAAATCTCCTTATTCATACTCATTTTAATGTTCGACGCTGCCCGCTAGCTGCTAACCCTTGTAGTTAATTTAACAAAGTATGTTTGAAAACCTATTGCTTTATAAGTTTTTAAATATAACAATTATGTAATATGGCCAAGATTATAGTGATAACTATTTTAGTAGTTCTGTGCTTGTTATTGAGAGTTCAGTGTGGTTGGGGTCCCTTTTCATATCCTTATGTATCGGACTACCCTTGTGTAGGAACTAACAGTATTGTTAGTTTTTTTGAGCCTGGGGTGTCTTCTAAGGCCGTTATTCTGTGTCCATAAATCTAATATTCCCTGCTAACTCCATAATTCTAATAACATTTGACTCAGAAGCTTCCGTCACTTTGCTTGTAAAAACGGTTTGTAAACTTCTTCCTTTCGTTGCGTATTAAGACAAAAAAATAATAAATCACAAACATACAGGACGACAAAAGATATAGCAGAACAACGATGCAACTTGGTGTGGTGTTTGGATTCTTTTACTTTGTACAAGAAACTGGCTTTAATTTTGTAGTAACGTCTTACGTCCCTGGAATAGTTCCGTACATAACCAGCGTTAAAATCAACGATGAAGAATATTGTTTATATCCAAATGTGGTAAGAACAATTTTATAACAAACATTTAGCAAGCGATATAAGGAAGTAATGGCGTTAAGTTTGACAAGAGAATTTACGCGAGATTTTTGTTGAAATCTTTTGAGGTTGAGGATCTCATTTCCAATAACTAATATGTCCGTACATTCAAATACCAACGATTATTGATAAAGATTAAAAAACATTCCAGAACCAGTGAATAAAGAAATTTATAGCCCAATGACAGGGAGATTTTATAAAACATTTTGATGTATAGTTATTTATTACAAAAATAAATACATATTTTGTATATATCGCAGGGGTTCTTAAATCAATATGTTGTTGAAACGTTATTAAACGACGAGGAACAGAACTGTGGCCGGCGTCAAGTGAGAGGCACACAGTTGATGGTTAATGGCGCTAACACTAAACCCGGGGACTGGCCATGGCACGTGGCTATTTATAAACGACAAAAAAACATTATTAAGTATATCTGTGGAGGCACTCTTGTATCTAAGAATTTTGTATTAACAGGTAAACAATCTTTATATAAAGAGAAATCTTACATTTAAAAGAGCCTAAAGTAGGTTTTTGGGCAGTGAATGTTATTTTTTAAAAGGGTAGTATTTCATTTATTAGCCACCAAATATGAAGAAGAAGAATAGTATAATATCATAAAATTATTCAGTACGTTGCTGTTGTTTATAGATGATTTTCGTTGTAGCGAACTCGTAATACTTATCGATCTTGAAGGCTTGGTCTTTGCAGATGTTATTTTTCCACGGAACCATAAGCTCTATTAATACAACGCGCTTTAAAAGTCACAAATACAGAAATATGTCTGGTCTGGACGCTTACGTACAAATATCCTCTGGGATTTTAAATTGTTTCTCATACGTATCCATCATTATAGTCCAACATATAATTGAAACAAAAACTTGGAAATATGTTTTCTTTATTGAACTTTGAATTTGATACATTTTTTAAATTACTTTTAGAAACTTCATTGTGGCGGTAAAAACTTTCTACACTCAGATTACTCAGTGATAATTTTTTGGTTTTCATATTTCCAGCTGCTCACTATGCGTCAGTGAGGGGTTCTGCCTTATTGCCAGACGTAATAAGTGTTGTCCTTGGGAAGTACCATTTATTTGGAGGTGATTTTGGGTCTGAAGAAAAGGAGGTTGGTAAAGGTTTGTCCCTAAAGCATTTTGACAGATTTCCAATATAATATTAAATGTCTTCATATGCTTAAAATAATACCTCATAAAAATTCTTTTATGCTCATAATAATTCAATTGGTTTTAGGTTCATAGGATAATAATGCACGAAAAATTTGAACACAGAACTCTAAACAATGATATAGCACTGATCGAGTTAAATACAGAAGTAACGTTTACTGATTACATTTAACCATCATGTCTGTGGTATGAAGATGCAATCGATAAATTATCAAGCAACCAAATGATGGGAACGGTAGTAGCAAATCTGGCTATAATGGAATACATAGTTTTTTTATATCTTGATGAAAAATAAAATACTGTCCTTAATTTAATAATAATAATTAATTTGTTATATTTATTTGTTTTTTTTTAATTCAAGGTTGTAGGATGGGGTAAAGATAACAGTGGAACTCTAACGCGTACACTTAAACAAGCTAACATGCCTATAGTTTCAGATAGCGACTGTATCAAAAGTAATCCTTTGTTTTATGCTAACATTTTGAATGGAAATAAATTTTGCGCGGGATTTCACAATGGTAACGCCATTTTCTTTGATACTTTTCTAAATCCGCCAAAAGGTACAACGATACGAGTGAGATGTGATTGAGGTTAAGCGTCTCTGTCGCTATAACTTTTTTTTACCTTAAAGTGGTTTTTATATAAAATAAATTAATATTGTAGGAACATCAGCTTGCAACGGTGACAGTGGTGGAGCACTTGTGGTGTTTGTACCAGATACGGCTGAGGATAGCGATCCAAGAGCCGAAGGAACCTGGCATGTTAAAGGCATTGTATCAATGACACTATCTCAAAAAGATGTACCGATATGTGATCCGGAACAGTACGTAGTGTTTACAGACGTTGAGAAATACAGAGCGTGGATAAAAAGCTACATCAAAGAAAAAGAAAAGGAAGATATTGATCAATAATTGTGAAAGAACATTAAAGCAACAAAATAGTAGTAGAAAGCTTAAAAAGTGTTTGTAAGGTAACAATAAAACATAATTAACTTTCTTCTAGTTTTAAGTCACAGTGGAAAAGAGCTTTGTTACTTTATTTGTTAACTTCTGTAACTCAGCGAAGTATTTTTTTTGTTATTATTTCATCACTTTAGAGCAAGTTGGTTCTATATTAACATGCATAGGACAAATAAAAGTAGACGTTAGTAAAATATGTGTTACTTACTTGAAAAGTTTACATTTGAAAAAAAAGAAACTTTTAGCAGTTTTAAATAATGTTAGGCTAATTTGTCAATATTTTCGTATTACCTATATCTATCAGAACTGAATATTACTTCCTGTCCCTGGTAGATTTAAACATAATAAACCATTAGTTGGTGTTATTGTTCTCAGAACAAGTAAAATGTATTTTTTTTGTTCCTAAGATTAAAATGAAAAGATGGCACGTATGCTGGAAATATTTAGATTTGTTACGTATCGTCACATATAAATGACAAGTGTAAGTAGCATTAAATCAATGCAGGTAGCTTCTTTAAAATACATTCAAAAATATAATTACACATTATTATAATTAGAGAACATGAAAAATTTTAAACAACATTTAATTTATTTCAAACATAATATTAAATTTAATATTAGTACATAATATTCAGGACGTAATGTAAAGCTAATTCGGAATCAATAATATGTACAGACTCTTTATCTCATCATCTTAGATAGACTTGCTTCACTGATGATTTAATTGATATCTGAAAACGTTCTCTATAACTTTATTATTAGTTAACAATACAATAAAACGATTTACACAACATTACACTAACACCTATTTGTTTAGGACAGTTACTTTAAACACTGATAAGAAAATATTTTTGATTCCTGATCGGAGAAGAAGGTACCTTTTTAACACGCTTATATTAGCTTGGGTTGGATGTATGTAACGGAATCTTTGAGCACGACTTTAGTAGCTTTCTAAACATCTGATTAACTTGAAACTTTGCATATGTCTGAAGGACTAATGACAATGCAATAATTCGTTTACAATTTCCCATTATCCTAGTTAGAGCCGCCAGAATTAATATATTCTTTTCATATATTCTCTATGAGAGTGAAAGGGACATGTCCACAAAAATCGTACTAAAAAATATAAATTAAATGATATTTTAAAATCTAAAAGTGTGTTTTTTATTTTTTAAATTTATTATTAAACAAACTTGTCGTAGTAAAGGTCGTCGTTAAGTTTTAAGAGTTTGTTCATAAAATAAAACCAGCGATTTTTCTAAAGATTCTTTTTATAAAGCATTATATAAATGTTATGCCTTTTATTATATTACACTCTATGCTAACATGTCAAATGATTTTATTAAAAATTGTATAACACGAAATTGCGATCAAAATAAGTTCTTCGGTAAATTTTGCAGTAAACCTCGAAATATGTCGACTATATGTTTAAAAGATATCTGCAACGGTCATTTCAGTGTATTTATTATATTTTATATATGATGAGTTTGTTTCGCAGTTTATTTTTACTTCTTGTTATTAAAACGTCCCCCAGAGATATATATTTTTTTTAGAATAACTATACTTAGTTAACATAATAAGGTATGATCTATTTTATTTAAATAATTAATGAATTTAACATCCAATTTAACCAGAACTGAATGCATAACAAAAGGACTGGAAATGTAACATTGGTAACAAGCGCTATTACATTAATCGGATTCCCTTTTAATTGCTTGAGGGCGCATTACAAATGAGGGCATAATTGAAACTACATCGGAAATTAAATTATTCAAAAGGCATAGGACTGGAACAAATATATGATACAAATCTTTTTAGTAACAAAAATGTTTAAGATAATATTTTTCTGGGCCTACGTTTTCTCATTAGCTTTGAGTATCGTTTCCATTTCTATGGCCTCAAAGTCTTCAGCTTGTCTTCTCATTGCCCGCAATAATAAGCCGGTATAGACCTCTCGCCTGCGAGTCTTTGGGCTTGTATACGGTTAGTCACAACCTGGAATAATGTGTAGTGTGGAACTGTCAAGTTCGAGAGCTGGCAGTGTACTTTAGAAGCAGGGATTCACTGTTCAGCGTAATACCAAAAATGGTTGGTAGAAAGGCCATTTCGATTACTTACTAGTAACCATGATCACGTTTACTTATATACCTATGTGCGTATACGGCACATATAATTATATAAAATATACATATATAAATACGATAACAACTTTTATAACCTTTTGAATCGTTATATCTCAGAAACGGTGGCTCGTAAGAAAAGAAGTATTGATACATTTGTTATAGATAATTTTATGATCTATAATTTTGACGTAATAATGTCTTTAAAATCGTTTTAGTCGGGTGACATGTTCAGAAACTTGTGTCACACCAAAACCTCACGAGCGCGATCGCAGGTACAACGAGAGAGAGACGGACCAATCTCCCGTCTCATCTCGAGCGCTGCCAGTCATTCCGTGAAACTTGTCACGCGGAATCCTCACGAGCGGAGGCAGGCATAGCGTTCGAGTGAGTGGACCGATCTTCCGTCTCTCTCACTCTAGCGGCATACAAACGAATGGAGATTTTCTCGTGCGGTTAAGTTGTCGTTGAATGTTTAACAGTGAAACAAAATGTGAAGTGAAGTGAAGTGTTTCCTTACTTCCCAAAAACTTATATCACCAATAAGACGTTATCACGTAAACATCTCGATAATAAATCTACTTTACAAACAACCAATTTTTTATTTCAACGTTTAAAGAAATAATTTTATTCAATTCTGAGTAATTTCAGTACAAGAAGGAGACTATGAACGAACTCTTCCCTTCCTGGATGAAATGGAGCAATTGAGATATAAAGAATTCATTATTAAATAGGTGAGGTTTGAAATAGTAACGAAGTGTAAAATTACATTTTGCGTTTTATTTCTTCTGTTGCCACGTTGTTTATTTTTAATTAAAAATAATTTTTGATCAAAATATTGTTAATGAGTAGCCCCGCGCTTGTGAACACAAGACATGAAATGGGATTTGGGATTTTGTTGCTGATTATCTGTTTCTGCCAAAAAAGTGTCCACTCAAGTTTAATACACACGGTGACTCACAGGAAAAATTACAGGAAAATATCATTTCATATCCATCACATACTCGGACGTATAATTTTTCATTTAAATGCATCCAGGTGTTATGGATGATGTCTATTTTTTCGAAGTGACCGACGTTAAGAACGTGACGATGTCACTGTGTCCATATGAATTAATATTTGTGTCTTAATATTGAGTATTAACTTGTACTTGATTATTTTACCTTTGTAGTATCCTTTGACATTGACTAAAATATTTAACAGAGGTTTACAACATTCAAGAAACATAAAAATTTTAATTAAGTCACAATGGACTTCAATAACGATATTCGGCAAAAAGTTCCTATATCGATTATATACTGTCAAATTGATATTTTTTACCACAAACTAGTATTTAAAATATGATACAATTTGATATCGGTACCATTAAAATCATTGTGATTTTGGATTCGAGCACCCGATGTAGACGTAGATCGTATATCTTTACAGTTGTGTTGCAATATTTATTTTATTTTAATATTTAAAATAATTTGTTATTATTGTGTTTCTACAATCATCCACTAGTTCAGATATTAAGAGCGCATTTATTTAAAACCTTCTACTCATTGAAATATATTTTTCATATATATATTCGTATAACCAAACATCTATTATCTTTTATTATAGTTATTATTAAAGATTTAAATGACATTTAGAGATCAAGTAAAATAAAGGTGAAAGTAGGTTTATCCAGGTAGGTTTTATGCACATATTGTCTTTTTTGGAGACTTAATTATTGAAACATTTAGTGTCAAGTTGTGTACTCTCTAACATGATATCGTATATCTGTAATCAAAGCAGATGAAAGGTTCCAAAAGTCGTATCACCCCTGTATGGTTTATTTTTCCTTCCGAAAGATGTTAAATTGTTTGGTTGCGAAATCAAATATGTACTTAATATTTTATATGTGATTGTAGATTTAAATACCCACAGTTATAAATTGTTCATACTCGATGACTGAATTTTTATTTTAATTAAAACTTGATTTGATTATTAAAGAAATTTTTATTATATTTCTTTTATAATCTAATCAAGTTGTATTTAAAATATACGTTATGTAAGAAAAGATAATAATAAGCGAGTGCTGCAAATAAAAAGTAAGAAAACTATTTAATTTTTATTAAGGGTAAGGGTATTTATGTATTTTTTGTAATTTATTTAATAATCTACAAGAACAAATTTGTCCTTAAGTGGTTGGCAATTACTCATCTATTTACTTCCGCAGTTTTGTTAACATAACAAGGAAACATATAATCCTTATTTGTCTTTACCTAGCTCATAAAATTTAATTGTTTGTTCGTGAAGTATGAACATATGTTATGTATAAGTTTATATAAAATAAACTTACTTCCAAAGTAAATAATGTCCCAAGCTTCCCCAACGGAAATTTGACGAAGTTTGACGTTCTGCTTGATTTTAACTTTACAGAAGTAATTAAAATTATCCGTATTTAACTAATTTTGTCTTTATATAACTTCTTCTTTTACTCACTAATTATTCACTCCAAATAATATTGTAACTTATAGCTTTCGACAGCCCCTTAATCACAAACAGAATATGATTGGCGACTAAGGAAAAATAAAATTTACGCAGTATAAATTGCTGTAGTTGACCGCTAGTATTTATTCATCTATAAATATATATAATATACAATATAAAGTGTGTGTGTGTGTGTGTGTGTGTGTGTGTGTGTGTGTGTGTGTGTGTGTGTGTGTGTGTGTGTGTGTGTGTGTGTGTGTGTGTGTGTGTGCGTGTGTGTTATTGATGAGTTTTATATAACACTAGAAGTAACAAGCATGTACTAATAATTATTTTATATTGCTTCTCTTAATGTGCTAAACGTTGTATTAAAAT